AACTGACGAAGAATTATTATCGGAGGGCATATTTTAATAATATCTTGAAGGAGATGACAATGGCAAATCTAGGGGAACAACGAAAAGAAGATCTGTTTTGAAGGTGGGGACCCAAGCACGTACACCCGGGCTAGGAACGCGTCCTGGGTATGACGATAAACTACATCCGCGTCCACGGTAAGACGATAAACTACGTCCAGCAGCAAGGCCTCTGATCATGAGGTTTTGAGGAGCGTGGAACCAGCTCTTAATTGCTGGTGTTCCAAGGTCCACCCTGACCCGGGGTGGTAGCACCTGTTAGGGTCCCAGCTATAGGTAAATAGTTAATGAGGTAAAAAGCATTATAAAAGTGTAAAAATATGTTTTAATACCAGAAATACTTTGTAAAAAATTATTACAAGAAATTAATTTTTGAAGAAAAAAAACTATTACCAGCAATACGTTTTTGAAAAAACTATACTAGGAATACATGTGATTGTACTCAAAAATATGAGTAACTGAAAAATGGTTCAAATATATGTGTATACATACACACCATTTTTACCAAACTATCGCTATGAATCTATTTTTTAAAAATTGTTGGTATTAACTGACCCACGGAGGTTTTGATATGCCATAAGACAAAACAACCAAGCAACCGGGCTAGGAACAAAAATTCCCCACAGTCCCCGCAATCGTCGGTTACAGTGGACTCGGTGCAAACCCTGATCCCTCTCTCTGATGCAATGAAAGGGCGCGGCCTCGGACAGCTGTTCCCCAGGGGTGAGAACCTCTCAGTATAATTTTCCTCAGTTGCGACTCTGTCCTTTGACGGAGTCGCCCTTTGAGTACACTCTGCGCAAAGACATAGACGCAACCAAGAGATGATAAATAATGTGTTACAAACCACTTAAAAGTAGTTTACAAAAACGAAAAGAAATATAAGACAACGGATTTAATAAAAGCAAGTATAAAAGACTAACTATTAATTATAAGAAGACAGAATAAATGATTGTCAGCAAAGAAGAAGACAGCTCAAGATGTTAGCTACATATCGGTATTTCAATATCAAGCAGACGCAAAAAAATATATGAAACTTGGTAGTAACAGACGACATTTAAATGAAACACAGAAATACGAAGTCGCGTAGGAAAATAGTGCATGAAAAGCGATAAATACAAAAATGGTGCTATATATAGAAAGGCTGGAATATTGCAACCGAAACTTACCTTTGACATTAACTCAAACATCGACATTTGGCTCCCATAGTAAAGCAGATGCTGAGACGCCTGAAGAACTTTCTTAAAGTTTAGATGCCTGTTCTTTAAGAAACGGAGGAAAGGGTCCGAAAAATGTATTTCCAAAGAAAAACTCTGCTGGATTGCGCCGTGCAGTTTAAAATATTTATAGCTTTGTAACTATTCATGAAATAAACAATCTGTAAAAAGAATAACAAAGCTTGATATGTCGAGTTTTTATGGTCTTCAGAAAAATTATTTATTATTTGTTTTACCCATTCGTTTCTTTCAATTTCTTGAAATTTCAAAATGACATTTTTCAACTTTAAAGATTTCAAAAAGACTTTTTATTTGCAGAATTTTTGTTTAGTTCCATCGGATTTCTTTTTATGTGAACACGTGTAAAATAATATTTGTGCAACTAAACTTCAATCTTTAGAGAAAGTGCAAGCTAGGATAATTCATGTGATTGAAGGTATAACTGAAATGTCTTCGGAAAACTACAATATCGGTTTACCCTTTGTATGCATAATGATGGCGGACATGTTGGAAAATAACACTCACAATAATAAATTTAAATACTTCTCCTTTATCATCCTTTTTACAGATCCTTTCTATCATGTTTAGTTACACAGCTACAAGTATTTTTTAATTTGAAAAGTGTCTTTATGGACACGCAGTATATATATATATATATATATATATATATATATATATATATATATATATATAGTTTTATTTTTAGTTTGAATAGATCTTTTTTACGTTTAAATTGAAATCTTTAGCTTGTTCTGAATATCACATACACATACACACACATATAATATGTATATATATATATATATATATATATATATATATATATATATATATATATATATATATATGTATGTATGTATGTATGTATGCAGGACGTTCAATAAGGTCGCGTGCAGTTTAAAATATTTATAGATTTGTAACTATGCATGAAAGAAGAAATCTGTAAAAAGAATAACAAAGCTTGATATGTCGAGTTTTGTCTTCTCTTCGGAAAATTTATTTATTTGTTTTACTCAAAACTTCAAAATGACATTTTTCATTTTCTAGAGATTTCAAAAAGACTTTTTTTTTCAGAATTGTTGTTTGGTTCCATCGGATTTCTTTTTATGTGAACATGTGAAAAATAATATTTGTTCAATTAAACCTTGATTGAAGTTCTTAGTGAAAATCAGCTGCCAAATGTTTCCAGAGAACTACAGAATCGTTTTAACCTTTGTAAGCGTAATGATAGCGGACATGTTGGAAATTAAGAATCCCAATAATAAATTTAGATACTTCCCTCTCATCCTTTTTACAGATGCGTTCTATCATGTTTAGTGTCAAAGCTACAAGTATTTTAGATTGCAGACGGACATTATGGTCACACTGTATATTTAAATTTAAAATAATCATTACTAGTGGAACTCATGAAAGTTTCACGCTTTTGCTATTTGAAGATCCTTTTGCTATTCTAATATTTAATGAATACAAAAACTTCTTACGAGTTCCTCGATTATAAAATCCCCGTTGAATTTCTCCTGTTGCATCGTTAAATATTTAATTAGAGAAAATGAAAACAAAAAGGAAACTTAAACTTCAGTTCAAAAGTTTGAAACAACCCCCAGAATTAACATGAGATGGACATGACAGAAGAGTGAAAAAAAAAATGAAAAAGAAGAGACATTGAAAAAAGAATTGTTATGTATCATTTACCAAACATATAGTATGAGAAACTTTCGCAACGAATGCCAGAAATTTGTGCTGCAGTAATCAAGGCTAAAGGAGGATATTTTGACGAGAGCAAAATTTAATCATAAAATGCTTTTTTTCTTTATGTAAAATTTCTAATAAAATTTGATGTCTCACTTTTTTTTAACCGTGTATCTTATTTAAAGTACGAAACTTAAACTTCATCTTATTTAAAGTACAAAACAATTACTTTTGGGGCTAAATTTAAAAAGTACCAAGGGTCACCTTCAACTTTTGAACTGTAGTGTATACTTGGTCACATAATGAAGAAAGAGGGCTTAGAAAATCTGACAGATTGAGGACAAGAGAAGGACGGAGGAAAGCAATGCTTAACATACTTAAAGGTTAAATAAATAGATATGGCGGAACAGAGTTTAGGAGGAATAACAGAAAGGCCAAATTTATTAAAAGGAGAGGAAATTGTGGAGGTACATAATCATCTACATACTGAGGGGACACAGTACATAAAGAAAAAGTCAGTCATGGATCGAAAGAGACATGATCACTCAAGCGTGTATCACGTGTGGCTCTTGACTTTTATATGTTAGTGATGCTGGGCAATTTTCTTTAAAAATGAATAAAAGATTTTGACCGACAGAGATATTGTTCTACCAACGAATTCTCAGAATTGTCTTTTTTTTGTGCCATAAGCCTTTCATTGATTCCTGACTACCGATTCTACCGTTTCGCGTCCCTTAAGGCCGTAGGCGGTCATGGCTCTGAACAAACTCTCATCCCTTGCATCTTTTAGCTAAGCATGTCTTTTTACCATTCCTCTCAATCCTCATTCTCTCATCCTTTAATATAAGCTCGTTAGGTAACTGACCTACTGCCTTCCCCTGCCACTTTTCCATCCGATATGTTTTGTGAGGGTTAAATTTTACAAGACCTCTCTTCTCATTATGTGTCCCAGAGATTTCTGTTGTCTCTTTCTGATAGTATAAGTGTCCTTTTTGTTTCCATTTTCTTGAAGACTTCCCCAATGCTTATACATTCCGTCTGTTTGATATTCTCAGTATCCTTCTGTAGAGCCACATTTCTGTTGCTTCAAATTATGGCCAGGCTCATTACGGTGAACGACGAATGCATATAATGTGTTGTTTTGAAAAAGATCCCTTTTGTGTTCATATAATCTTTTATTTAAATTCCTCGGAGGTGTCTCCTATGTATTCTTACACTTCATCTGAGAGGGAATTATCCACCATTCTCTGTCATATAATTGGATGGATATCATGTAGCAGTTCAGCGCCATTTTCTTTGTTTCAAACGAAATTTTCCTGTTTCCTAATAAACAGCTTAGTTTTTGAAAGACATTTTATTATACATGTTTTAATCATTCTCCACCAAGCGAAAGAAAATGAGAAGAATTTGTAATTAATAGATCCGTTTTCTACGGTTTATCAACCCTTTTCACGTCATTTAAAGCCAGGGGATTTTTTTAGATTATAAGAATTTTCCTGGGAGATAATAATGATTTCGTGACACAAGTCTTACTAATTAACCCATAGCAGGGGGGTAGAAGTTGGAACTCGGCTCTCCAATTAACACTTCTGAATCATTATCTATTGCACCATCCGCACATTCAAGATAACAGCACCATTTAGGTACTGACTAGGCACGACGTTGCTTATCTTCGACTTATCAACACTTTCCAGGTTATCTAAAACCAGAAAATAGTTTTAAATTGTAAAAATTTTTCTTTTGGAAAAAATAATGTTATTGACGTTGTTAATGATTGTACGGGAACCGGTGTTACAACGCTATATGACCGTAAGGCTTGGATAATAAGAGGATTTCTATTACAATTTATATTTCTCTGTCCATAGAACGGGTAATTGGTTAAACTTGGCAAAATGAGACTGGTGGGATTCGAACCCTGGCTATATGGTTGGAATGCTAGCTGGAGAGGGGAGATGTGGATTCGTAAGTGCATATAATGAACCAAACAGGAATTGGAACTCGGCTCTCCGATTAACAATCCATGACCATTATCTATTAGAACACCCGCACACCAAGCTTACAGCGCCTGGTATTCCCAAACAGTCACCCATCTAGGTATTGACCAGGCTCGACGTTACTTAACTTCCGTGATCGTACAGTAACCGGTGTTTCAACCTGATGTGGCCATAGACATACCCCCTGCATCTCTAAACTTACAACACCTGGTATTCCCAAACAGTCACCCATCTAGGTACTAACCAGACTCAATGTTGCTTAACTTCAGTGTTTCAACGTTATGTGGCCGTAAAGACAGATGAAGAATTTAGAAAGAGGAACCGGAAACGCAATTCTGAACGAGAATGAAGGACAAAAAACGGTGGGGGAGTGTGAACCGAATAATAGGTGAAGTTATCTTTTCCAAAAATCATATACGATGTTCAGTTCTGTCAGTAATGTTTGCATTAATTCCTGACCATTGATAATCCCTTTTCATTCATTTGCAATACATAACATACATATGTCAAAATTTAAAGTTCAGTTTAAATATCAAGAAAATGTTTTAAGAGGCTGGAAAATGTGACACCGATATCCGAAGGGGCATTGGGATAGCGAAAAATGCCTTGCAAAAGCTAAGCAAAGATTTAAGAAACGAAGAAAAGAGTTCTGAACAGTTAAGTAATATCAGTTTTTCAATATCGCAGTGAATGATGGATAATTTCCTCACAGACGAAGAGGAGACTTGAGGCCACAGATATGTGGTTCTGCAGAAGCATACTGAGAATACTATGGACAGAACAAGTAAGCAACTAGAAAGTTTTAAGTAAAATTGTAACAAAAAAATATCAATTATACATAAAATCAAAAATTGACCGTTGAAATTTCGGAGACACATAATGAAGAAAGAGGGTTTGGAGAATTTGACACTCAAATGACATACTGAAGGCAAATGGAACAGAGGAGAGCATCGCGCCACCCAATAAAAGAGCTCAAATTATAACCATTCCCTTTATAGTCCTTTACTAAGTCCTTACCTTTGGAATACGGAGGGAATGACGGTGATTCGACCCTGTGTACGTAACGTAATGGATCCTGTGAAGTTTTGAACTGGCGGAAGTAAGGAAGGCTAGACTGAACATTTGCCATGGAAATATCGATAAGCCGACAGGCTTGCGACTTTTCTGAAAGTGGCAATAGGGTTGAAAATAATACCCCATTCAAAAAGCGCCGAGCATCTTCCTCCTCTATGTGCCATGACCCTTCAGGACGTTGGCAATCAGTGCTCTCCAAAATTCCCAGCCCTTTAATAAATTGTGTCTTTTTGCCCTCTCTTCCAGAAACTGCTTCACCATTCATTCGCTCAGGTAAGTTGTGTGTTACTTTCCTCTTGTTCTCTTACCTTCAATCTGCCCTGTGTATATCAAATTTTCCTAGCCTTCTTTCCTCATTATGTACCCCAGAAACTTCAACTGTCTCTTCCTCGTGTCAGCCATAAGTGTTTCATTTGTTGCTGTTGTCCCTAGAACTTCGTCGTTGCTCACATGATCGGTTCATGATATCCTCAGCATCCTTCTGTAGAACCATATTTTTGTTGCTTCAAGTCTCTTCTTCATCTTTTAGGATTATTGTCCAGCATTCACTACTATATAGGAAGACTGATACTACATAACAAGATTATTTTTTTTCCATTACGGAGGGACAGAATTTGTTATGTTACTATATAACTAAGTGATTCTGAAAGTAAATCAAGGTTGTCACATATCTGTTCAATAAATGCTCACTCGTTATATATCGAATTATTTGACGGAATTTGAATTTTAATGTTTTTATTTAATAAATCCTCCCCATTATATATGTAATTATTTGAGCGAATGAAAGTTGTGAGGTATTTGTTTCATAAAGCCGTCACCGTTATGTATCTAATTATTTGACTGAATTAAAGTTTTAAATGTATTTATAAATCCTCCTTGTTACATATGTAATTATATTTGAGCGAATGAATGTTTTGACATATTTTTTAAAGTTTCCACCGTTATATAGGTAATTATTTGAGTGACTATAAGTTTTTTGGTATTTGTTTAATAAACTCTTTCTGCAATTAGAGTAAATTTAAGTTTTGTTTGATAAATATTATTCGCGAAATTACAGCTTACAGAAACACGTAGTAGTAGTAGCAGCAGCAGCAATAGTAGTAGTAGTAGTAGTAAGTAGTATAACCCACATTTAATGCAGAATTTTCATGCGGCTTTACCAACTGAGCTACGACACCCTACCATGGAGAGTCGAAGTGGAAAATAATTGTCCGTGACTGAGCGGGAGCAGTCTTCAATTTGAAACGCGCAGTCAGAGAAGGCAGATTCGAAAAGATCGATTATCTGACAGGTGAGCCTCAGCAGCCGACTATTTACCACCTCAGCGACATCAATTCAACGATTCAAATGTTGAACATGCGCATTTTATCCAATCAATAGTCTCCGCCTCCTTCTCGTTGCCTCTCACTTTTTTCTCTGCTTCTCTCTCTACTCACCCTTCTTTTTTACTCTCCACCTTCTATTTCTCTCTCTATCTCTCCCTGTCTTCTTTCTTTGTCGACTGCCTTTCTTTTTCTTCCTCTGCTTAACTGCTTCTTCCTCTCTTTTTAAGATGCCTTGCTTGTCCCTTTTTCTTTTTACCTACTCCTTTGAATATTCTATTACTCTTTCTTTTTCTTTCCTTCTCTTCTTAATGTTTATTGCTAATGGACGCGACTTACAATCAACATAACTTTTGTAACTTTAGCGGCTCGGCGTATGGTGTTAGCGAGTTCGTTTGATTGGCCACTACGACCGAGTAGTGAGCTCGATCCTTTATGGGTGACTCACATTTACAGCCTTGTGCCATACTAAGCTAAGATTATTATGAGTTGATCCCCAGGGCTTGGTAATGTTTCGTGAATTTATCCGAATAGTGAGTTCTATCCTCGCTATATGTCCAATATTTACATTCCGACTATCGTCCGCATCTTTATAGTTATTATAAGATATCGGCCAAACAAATGCTTTGCCTTTAATCTACGGGAAAATATCCGAGTGAGTCCAGCCAATGGTTCGTGAATTTAGTTACATAATTGTAAGTTCAGTCCCTGGATCAGCTAGTTCAGTGGAAAAAGGTCAAGTAATAACAGAGTTCGAATTCCAGTCTACATTCATTTACGTGTTAATACTCTTGGGAAAAGGTATGAATCTTCTTCTTTTTCCCCCAGCTATGGGTAAATAGCAGGACAGATTGAGTTCTGTAGCCTTGGATGGCTACTGGTCTAACGCAGAAAGAAATGGCAACCTACTGCTGGAAAAAATCTGCCTCGTCATCATGTATCAAAAGATACATGATCACCTAAACGTGTATCATGCATGGCATATAACTGACTGACTGACTTTCTAGACGAATCCATTACATTTACTTACGTACTAATACCCTTGGGAAAGGTATGAATCCTCTTCTTCCCCCACCACCAGCTATGGGTAAATAGCAGGACAGACCGGGTTCTATAGCCTTGTATGGCAACTGGTCTAACGCAGAAAGAAATGGCAAACTACTACGGGAAAAAAATCTGCCACGTCAGTCATGTATCGAAAAATACATGATTGCCTAAGCGTGTATCACGCATAGCACATGAATGAATAATGAAGGAATGGATAACTGAAACAAGACGAAATATCTCTAGACACAGACAACGGAATGAGACCAATTAAAAAAAAAAAAAGCTCAATTCGAAATTCCCTGAATAAGACCGGAGGAGTTACCGACCGAAACTTTGTGATAACAACAACAAAGATGAGGATATTAATCTGAATGTAAATAATGATATCTCCTCATCCCAGAATTTCAGACTTGTGTCTTTGCACCAAAACTAAACGGAATAAGTGCCTCGTTGTAATGCAATGTTTAACGAGCCAATCTCGAAGCTCGTTATAGTGAGTTCGATCCTCAGTAGGAGATCCGTGCCTGGAGCTAGGTGCAAAATCTAAATTATTCTTAGTAAATATCTAGCAAGTGTCTAGTTGTGGTCTAATGGTTAATGAGTTAGTCATGCAGATCATTTTGTTTAATATCACATCCCTCCAAAAGGATGGCGACCATGACTCTCCACATTTCCTTTCTTATCTGCGAACTGCCATGCATTATTGGGAAATATGGTTGAGTTTATTTTCCCATTGTTCGGAATTTGTTCTTGAATACGAAATAAAAATAATTCTCTTTTCTCCATTGTCTTCAAATTCGCGAGACTATGCGAAAATTTATTTTGACCAATAGAAAAAAGGATTGGCTTTGGGCTGAAGGAAAGACTAAGGGAAAGTTTAATGAGCCTGAATGAAAAAAATTATTTGGACCAATAGAAAAAAGGATTGATTCCGGGCTGAAGAAAAGACCAAGCGAAAGTTTAATGAGCCTATATGAAAATTTATTTGGACCAATAGAAAAAAGGATTGATTCCGGGCTGAAGAAAGGACCAAGCGAAAGTTTAATGAGCCTATATGAAAATTTATTTTGACCAATAGAAAAAAGGATTGGCTCCGGGCTGAAGAAAAGACCAAGCGAAAGTTTAATGAGCCTATATGAAAATTTATTTTGACCAATAGAAAAAAGGATTGGCTCCGGGCTGAAGAAAAGACCAAGCGAAAGTTTAATGAGCCTATATGAAAATTTATTTTGACCAATAGAAAAAAAAGGATTGGCCTCGGGCTGAAGAAAAGACCAAGCGAAAGTTTAATGAGCCTATATGAAAATTTATTTTGACCAATAGAAAAAAAGGATTGGCTCCGGGCTGATGAAAAGACCAAGCGAAAGTTTAATGAGCCTATATGAAAATTTATTTTGACCAATTAAAAATTGAGAAAAAGTAACGAGGCGATGTCAAATCGCTTTTTGATATAAATAGGCAGAAAAAGTCAGAGAAACAGGAGAGAAAAGGCAGAAGGAATAATGCCAGTGTCAAATTACACACTGATACATTTTCAGCCTCTAATGAGAGCAGGACATTTTCAAAGAAGTCTATTCAACTCCAAAGCTAAACACCGTAAAATATATTTTGTCATTCACGTTTAATACAGCCGTATAAATTTTATCTCATTTTGTTTTAGACATTTTGTGTCACGATGATTTAATATGAACATTTTCTCTTCTTGAAAATTCATCTGCAATCCACTTACTT